AGTGGTGCTGGCCCCTACCCTGGGGGTCTTTAAGAAGAGGCTGGATGCCTACCTGGCTGGACTCATTTGAGTCCCGTTTCTCTTTTTGGGGTTTTTTTGTTGTTCTCCCGCCCTGGCAGGGGGTCGGGCTAGAAGATCTACTAGGTCCCTTCCGACCCTTAATCTATGAATCTATGAATCTATGAATTCATGAATATATGTTTTGCTGCCCCCCACAGGGGCTATGGCTCCCCCTTGGGGTTACAGCCACCCCATAGGGGCCACATCCCCCCCAACAGGGGCTAAATGGCCCCCACAGGGGCTACCACCCCTCTGCAGGGCCCATGTGCCCCACCCCCACTTCCTTCTTGTTAAGGTATTTAGCAGAATTTGCAGATTTGCTGGAATGCAACAGGGCTGTGCTGTGAGTGCTTCTGCTATGGCCTACAAATGTGTGACCTCTGGGCTGTCAACTATGTGCCTTAGTGCCCATGCCACCCCAACCCCAACCCCTGGAAAAAGGACCGATCATTCCCAAAGTTAAATGATAGGTGAGAAAATAATGAGATCCCAGTAGCTCACCTAGCACCTAAAATTTGGTGGGTATACGGGAGAAGGACATCATGGAATCAGATTCGAGACTTCTAGGTTTGTAAAATGTCTAGACCAGGTTTAGAAACTGTCCCAGGAGGTGAAGTAATACAGGACACTTACCTGCAGCTAGGGACGGAGCACACGTGGAGTGGAGAGAGGAACCCGCGCAGCTCTTCAGCCGCCTCTTTGTACAGCTGTGGCCGGCCAGTGACGTCAGTGTCAGACGCCGGCCGGTAAAAATAAAAATGGCGGCCACTGCTGCAGAGGGGGCAGATAGCCAGAAGACGAAGCTGCAGCTGACGCCGGCGGTGGAGTGTGCTCCATGGACTGACACCAAGGAGACCAGCAAGCCGGAGGTAACATTGACTGGGGAGAGGAGCACCACATCAAAGACCCCCGCTAAACAGCGAAGGAGCAACTGGCTGGCTGAGTGAGGGAAAGCAGAAGCAGCCCCTAGAGCACAGCAGGATTCAAGTGGGAGTGCTGGGATGGTGGGGCGCGGAGGATGACATGCCAAGGGGCGAAACCTGGAGACAGCCCTGAAGGGGATTGCAATTGGGGTGGGGATTGCCTCCGGGGCCCAAGATGTTAAGCGGTGGATTGGAGCTAGTCCAGGGAGCGACAAACAGAGCGTAGAGTCATTCCTCCCCTTTAAGGGTCCAGGGATGGGGAATAGGTGGCGGGTTGGTGGAGGTGCATTCATTACATTTCGGACTACCCTGAGCTAGGGGGACAGAGTCTATAGGGGTGTGCCCTCGTGGTGGGGTCACAGGGTAGCCTTGGTAGGGGCAATAGTGGGGAAGATTCCCCACGGGACAGGATTAAGGCGTGAAGCATTGCAGGAGCTAACTGAGCCTCCCGCTATTGGCTTTGGGACGCAGAGCGGTGGACGTGATCTGCGGGAAAGGCCCCAGATACCAGTGAGGTGGTCCACCGAAGGTGGCGTGAGGCTGGGGTGTAGGGGTGGCGGAGCCCAGTGAGCAGCCATCGGGCCTAGCCCGGGCCACCGAGGGGACACGCTAACTAACCCCGCCTACTAAGGAACACCAAGACGTGGCAGGAAAGAATGGGGTTTGCGATGCGGGAGGAAAGAACTACCCCGATGACAAACCAGGTTGGAAGGGGCGGGACATCCGCCAAGTGACCACAGTCACCTGAGAGCGGCTAGTTGAAGCCTGGCGGTCACAGAAACTAATTACTATTACAGAAAAAGCTCAGCCTGTGGATAGTTCACACCTCACTAGTTCCCATGTAGAAAGTCTGCTAGTCTCCACCCTTATCATGATTATCTCATCTTTCATGAGAGAAAAGAAAAGATGGTGCTTGAGAATCTTTCAGTGGCAATGAATGCTGATGAAAATACGACAATATTTGCTGCGAGCATAGGTAGCATAAGCTCCACACATTTGATCTAAGTATTTGCATATAACACTACTTTGCTGATATTTTAGTGCTGCCCCAAGATTGCTGTGTTTGAATATACCAATACCATTTATCTATAAATTTATTTTCTTTTTTTTTAAATAGCCTTTTTATTGGCCCAGAAATGAAAACAACTACAGTGAAAACAACTATGAACAGTTAGCATTTATATTTCTTCTACTAACACAGTATACAATTATATTAAACAATGAGAGACAGATCAGACATTCAGACCAACATCTTGTAAACATGGATATACAAAGTACGAAAATATCTGACTTATCTAACCCAATTCATACCATATCAAGAATAAAAATATTCAACAAGTCATATTACTTCAAATGTACTAAAAATGAGCAACCATAAGTTTAATAAAATGTTTAAGGCTAATGTCTCTCAACTGAGATGGCTAAAAGTTCAGTCTATATTTGGGCTCTCAAAAATACTTCACTCTTCAAATGTGATGAACTCTTAGAGCTCACATTGACTTCAGTGAGAGCTGAAAGGGCTCAAGAACATAAGATGGCTAGAAAATAATTTTTGATGACAATGAAGAAAACAGTTTACATTATCAGCAAAAAATTAAAAGCTGAAACATGAACTACTGCAACAGCATTTCAAATTCAAACTGTCTTGCATTTGTGCAAATAATGTTTGGCAAACAATGTTTTCAAACATTTAGTTAGACCATATCCTGTACTCTAACCCATTTTCCATCGAAAAGAAAAAAAGTTTCAACAGAAATTTTTCCACTGTCCCCACTCAAACCAGCTAGAATTCAGGACCATTTTTTGTTTTGTAACATAATAATAGGAGCCAGAGGTCAGGCTCTCAACATTATTGTAGTCAAAGTGATAATGCTATCTTACATGGGCCATGGAACCAGCCCTTTGCTTTGAAAATATTGGCCTTTATCTCAAGCTGCTCACTAGACATCCCCACTGATATAAAATATATACATGTAACAGAGGTCCCTTTTGCTTTTGTTGAACTCAGAAACTCAATGCACAACCCCACTTTTGTCTTCACTCACCTTTGTCACTTAAGTTTTGTGGTCATTCCTAATTCATGAAACTAAATGGTGCATGCAGTCCATTCTAGTTTCATCCTGTCTCTTGGTGCTGTGTACACCACTGTTTTGGTATATACATTTATGTACATGTTGTACTTACCCAAGTTGCTTTAGTTCATATAGAAAAGGCAGTGTCTAAAAATATTGTAATAGTATGACTAAAAAATTAATAGACCTCTCATTCTTGTAGCATTATAACATATGTATGCTTTATAAAAACCTGCTGTAACGTTGATTTTCAAATTTCTTTTAAAATATGTTATATCATATTCTATACAGAGCTGTACGAAAAAGACCAAATTCAGTTATGGTGATTATTTCTAAAATGCATGTAATATCTAATCGATGCATCTTTCAGCCACTTGAATTACAACCCCTGGGCCAACTGATAAGTCCCAAACCCACTTAAATCCTAGAATAGCCATCTGTTGGCTCTCCCTGTTGATGAAATTCCATGAAGTGATGCATAAATTTTGTACTGCTTCTCTGCCTAACAGTGAATTTATCTGTGTGAGACAGGAAATGGGTCACCCCACAGAACTGTTGAAGAAAAACCACAACCTTTGAGCAGGAAAGTCATAGTCAGTGCTGAGGATAGCCTGACTGATACTTTAACTATTCTCCTACACCCAAAATGAGAGACATTTGAGATACGCATCTCTAGAAAGGAACATTTCCTTCAAAACGCTGGGAATTCACTTTTAATTCAAAGCACTTTTGTCATTGCTCGGGTCTCCCCAGCACCTACAGGTCCTGGAAATTCTGTAAGTTAAGTGTGTGATGTCTTCCATAACCAATGTATAAATCTAATGATGCTGATCCATACAGCAACATTTCATGAGATATATTTTTTTTGTAATGAAAAAAATAAGTTTGAATTCTCTGTTTGGCATTCAAACATTATAAATTAATCTCAATATGGAAAAGTAAACTGATCTGGAAAAGAAGAAAAGTGTTTCCTCTACCAAAAATAATTTACATCCTTCAAGAAGATGTTTCTACTATTTCTGATAGGGACAGAAAAATGACCATATACATATTATGTAGAACCTGATATCAAAAATAGAAGAAGAGTCACAGGTGAGGTCATGAAACAACAGTTTAAGGAACTTAGCTGCTGATCACAGCTTTCCAAAAGAGTAGTTGCATACAACTGGCATCTTTCTCATCAGTGTCACTCCTTCAAAGGTTCTAAGTTGCAGAGTAAAAGAACTGACAAACGTTCTTTTACTCTCATGCTCTCATCCTACTCGGAAATCTATGAGCAACAGCAAAGAGACTGAAGATGTCTGCAGATTCAGGAACATACCTATGCATAACTCAGTTCACATTTGGAAGCTTATCTTTGCAACCATAAGGGCTATGGACACATGTACACAGAATGCAAGCTTTATGTGCTATATAAGGAATTGGTACAGATGTCCTTGACAGGAAAGTTTTCAATTTAGTTATGGTGACTAATCAAGTTAATTTTTCTCTGCTTTAGGTCTCAATGTCCAAAAACTAAACCAATATAAGATATCAATTTTCTTTGACCTAGAGGTCATTCTGATATGTTCTACTCCTTCTTTTTGGCCATTCATTCTCAACCCATTCCAGAAGCACTTTTACAACATCATTTCTTTGATAAAATTTACACAGATCTATCAATTGCTCTACAGTTCTGTCGCTATTCCGTAGCAAAAACTCCAAGGTAGGACTCTGGTGCTTCTGTTCCAGGAAACACAATTCATCATAGGTCATCCCCCATTTACTTGCCATATTTCTCCAGTTTTTCACTGTTGGGTGACATGGATCCAATTTTATTCTCATTTTGTACAATAAGTCCTCATCATTAAGCAAGTCACTGATTGTTGGAGCACGGAACAAACATAAGGAGCAGGTGCCATTTTCTTTGCAGGATTTCTTCAGCTCTGCGGTCATAATCAAAGAAGTCAAAATCAGTTCTATTTCTTGACATGGATGTAAATACTTTCATTTTGCAGCAGGTAACATTTAATGCACAGTGCTGAAAATATTACTGTATTTTCTCAATTCTAAGATGAGGTGTCATCCCCATCCCTCTTCCCCCCTCCTCATTTACCACTGGGGAGAAAGGCCCTCATCTTGAAATAGAGTTTGATGGGGCGGGAGGGGACAGGTGGTTGCAATGGCTCAGAGTCCAGCCCCTACCCGAGGGGTCCTACAGTCCTTTCCCCTCCTCCTTACTCTCTGATCTCCCTGAGGAAATGGAATTGAGGAGCAAATTTGAAAACACAGACCTTGAAATAAACATACCTGTAGTCATTTGCATACAGGTGCCTGCTCCCCTTTCTTCCTGCGCCACTTCTGCATCCCCACATCTCTGACCCCCCTGCAGCCTCTGCTTCCCTTCCCTGCCTACTCTTGCTCCACAGCCCACAGTACTGCTACGGGGCTGGGTTGGACTGGGACTGTGCGCCATGCTCAGTGCCCCAGGCTACAGTGTGGATGGAGTCTGCCAGCATAGAGCAAAGATAACAGAGGGGGCAAGGGAGAGCAGAGGCTGGAGAGGAGGGAAAAGGGACAGAGGAGCAAAGGCTGGAGGGGAGAGGCAGGCAGAGGCTGGGGACAAGGGGCAGGAGGAGGAGCCAGGAGGGTGGGGAAGGAGGGCTGGAGGTTGCAGGAAGGGCAGGCGGGGGGCAAGCACAAGCACAGGGTAAGCTGCTTGACCTCTCTATACTACCTGCCCCCCTGCAGAGGTGGGGGTGATGAATTAAAGACAACCCTCTAATAATCAGTTTTTATACATGGAAAATTATAACAAATTTATACATTTTCTGTGTATAGAATCTAACTATTAGAAAGTCATCTTAAATTCAGGGCCATCTTAGATTTGAGTAAATATGGTATGTTGCTTAGAATTAGTTCTGAAATAATAATGAGGATTTAAAATGTCTTCTCCTATTGAAATAATTATACATGGAATCTTCTTGTTTTCCAAAGAGCACTAATTTTGAAAAAAATTCAAACTCATTTAATTTAAACCCCAGTGTGGAGGTTGGCCTGTCTCTTTTCAGAAAGCCTGGTACTTTCCAAAAAGAAAACTATGATGCTTTCTCCTTAGCCCTGTTGGGCTGTGCGTGTGAGTGACCTTTATTATCATTTCCTGTAGATGAATGTCAGGATGAGGCTGGCAGATAGACATTTGCCAGGTTAGCATTTCCAAACTGCTGCCTTTATAATGTGGCAGACTTAGGAAAATATTAGGACAGTGTTATTTAGATAGATTCTCTCTGCTAACGGACATACACCCCATGCAAGCGTTTACTGTGTTACCCAATTTCAAAGTGAAATATTTTGTGTTCCATGTGGGGAATTTATTTCAAATGTACTGTATTTGCTCAAATATAAGATGACCCCCCATATATTAGATTCTACATACAGGAAATTTATCAATTTGTTATAATTTTCCATTTATAAAATCTAATTATTGGAGGCTTGCCTTAAATTTGTCCCCCTCCCACTGCTACAGCATGGAAAATAGATCTGGGGGGTCAAGTAGTCCCCTTGCCCACTGCCTCTCCAGGCTTGTCTTCCTGCAGTCCTTTCCCCTCCTCCTTACTCTCTGATCTCCCTGAGGAAATGGAACTGAGGTGCAAATTTGAAGACAGAGACCTTGAAATAAACATACCTATAGTCATTTGCATACAGGAAAATGATCACAGCTATCAACAGACTTAGTTCATCCAGAATTGATGCATTTTACCTTTTTTCAAACTGCTGCAAGTTTTAGCACAGGTACTCCATAAATGCAGCATCATTTTTGTAACCACTTATATATAGTACAAACCCTGTCTGATACTAGTTCAAAGATAAAAGTCTTCTGATTTACCACATACTTCATAAGGCTGGGCCCCACCAGAGTCAATAGTGTTTCAAGCCAGGGTGGTACCACAGCCCAGCACTGTGGACTTGTGTGTGTACTTGAGATACACCCCCAAAAACAATCCACCATCCATAATTAGGCCCTGCCCCCACTCATGACTGGAATAAGGTACAGGCAAACCCCACTTAACGCAGTTCCACTTACAGCAGTTTTGCTATAGCACTCATTAAACAATACCTACCTGTTTTCACTTAGCACTCAGCAGCTTCATTATAATGCTCAGCGCAGGAGGTAGGGAGAAACAGTAGCAGCAGCAGCGGTGGTAGCAGGATGGAGTGAAGCAGTAAGTGGCAGCTGGTGGGGCCCAGGGTGGGGTGGCAGGAGCCCAGGGTTTGCTCCAGTGGAAGCGGTGGCAAGAAGGGGCAGGTGGGGGGCCGGGCAGCGTAAGCATGGACCCTGGGCTGGTGGGGCCCAGGGTGGGGTCGCAGGAGCCCAGGATCTGCTCTGGCACATGCCAGTGGGTGGGGAGGAGTGGTGGTGGCAGGGAGAAGGGGTGGCAGGTGGCGTGAGCATGGGACCTGGGCCAGCAGGGGTGCGGGGCCCAAGGCCAGGGCCAGCAGGAGTGCAGGGCCTGGGCCAGTGCGTGCCAGTGCTCAAGGACACATGTGCAATGTCCCCCACCCCAGCCCACAGTGGAGCCAAGCCCGTGGAGACCCACCCC